CGCGGCCGACAGAGGGGCGGGCCCAGCGCGCCAGCCAGCCAGCCAGCCAGCCGCAGCCGCGCCCCGGAGAAGGAGCCGGGAGGCGGGGCCGGCCGCGGAGCCCCCGAGAGTCGCCTGGCGAGCCTCCAGCTCCAGAGGCAGTCTGCAGCCGCGGAAGCGGGGCGCGAGGTCGGCTGGGACACCGGCTGCTGCTGGGCGGGGCGGACCGCCGGTCTGGGCCAGCGGGGCGCCTCTGAGCGCGTGCAGAGGGTCCCCGCCCACTCAAGAAGACGGCCGGAGCGGGGCCGACGGAGTCTTTGGCTCGGGCCGCCCAACCGGGCCGCCCTCGGGGCAGTGGCGAAGGGGAGGGGCTGCTCCGACCCGGGAGCCCTGAGCGCCGGGCTCTCTCGGCCGGAGCCTGCCCGGCAACGCTCCCTCTAAGCCGTGGAGTCTTGGGAGCAAAAATTCTACCTGGTGAGCTCCAGGCATGAAAGTGGTGAGCCAGCGGTTTGGCTCCTGCATCAGTGTGTTTGCTGCGGAGTTTGCGAAGACAAAAATCTGTGAGCCGGAGGCTAAAAAACGGTGAGCTCGCTCACACCAACTCCTCTTAGAGGGAACACTGCTACAGGCTGCTTTCCCTCCTCCTCCTCCTCGCAGCGGCAGAAGGGAGCCTACCCTGCAGGGCTGTTGTTGTCAGGACGACCGAAAGGGACCGTACGGGAAGCGCTGCAGGCCGGCGAAGGCCAGTGAGAGAGGGGGGCGGCTGCTGTCTCCTTCCCCCGCCCCGCCCGGGGCCGCAGAGGCTTCCTCTTTCCTGCCCAACAGGCCCCAGCAGCCAGCGCAGCCAGCCCAGGGTTTCCCCGACGGCCGCCAGGCTCAGCCGAAGAGGCGGTCCCGGGAGGCGTGGCCTCCTCCCAGCGAGCCCCGCCCCGTTGCTAGGGGGCGGGCCCGGGATAGGACCAGCTCTCGCGAGACCCGGGCGGCGGTTGCCGGGCGACGCGGCGACTCCGCGAGTGGCGGCCGACGGGGAGGGGCGCCTCCGCTGTCGAAATGGTGAGAGGGGGGAGAACCGTGCGCTCTGCACGCGCTCAGAGGGCCCCCTCGGTCTCCTTCCCCCCGGCCCCGGCCGCCCCTCCCTCCCTCCCTCTGGTCTGGTTCAGACAAGCGGGTGGCAAAAGGGGCTTCCGGGCTTGCGGTGCTGCTCTTCTGCTTGCAGGGAGGTTTTAAAAACCACCACAGGGGCGTCTTCCAGAGCCTGGCCCCCTGCAGGGCAGTGTTCCCTCTAAGCTGAGTTGGTGTGAGCTCGCTCACTGTTCTATAGCCTCTGGCTCTCACATTTTTGCTCAGGAAGGATGGGGCTCCCGAGCACACTAATTTATGCAGCAGCCAAATCGCTCGCTCACCACTTTAATGCCAGTAGGTCACAAGGCAGGATTTTTGCTCACTAGACTCTATACAGCTTAGAGGGATCATTGGTGCAGAAGAGCACCGAGCCTGCCTGGCCCTGCCCGGGGCTGCCTCCTCCTCCCCACGGCTGCGACCCGGAGCTCCCCGAGGGTGGTGGTGGATCTGGGACCCCCTCCCCACCTTGGGACCCCCTCCCCAGGCCTAACGCGGAAGGTGCTCTTCTCTTTCCCCAGGCGCCCAAGAAGAAGGCTGGAGAGAAGAAGGCTGGCGGCAAGAAGGGGAAAGCGAAAGGCTCCCCGGTGGTGGACGCCCTCCCCCCGGAGGGCATGAGCAAAGAGCAGGTGAGCCGGGGGGGGTGGGGTGGCGATGGCGGCTGAGCAGGGCGGCCTCCGAAGAGCCGTCCAAGCCTGGCCGACAGGAAGACTCCCAACCGAGGTTGTAAAAATGCTCCGCTGTTTTGCACCGATGATCCGTCTGTTGTCGAAGGGTTTCGCGGACAGAGTTCATTAGTTGTTGCAGGTTTTCCGGGCTGTATGGCCGTGGTCTTGGCATTGTGGTACCTGACGTTTCGCCAGCAGCTGGTCACAGCTGCTGGCGAAACGTCAGGTACCATAATGCCAAGACCACGGCCATACAGCCCGGAAAACCTGCAACAACTGATTATCAGTCTGTTGCTGCAGCTAAGGTGGTGGTGGTGGGGGGGGAAGCCTGGCCTGAACTGTTTAGGAAGAGCCATCAAAAGGCCTCGCATCTCACCACTGCTTGTGGAATCTGCCTCTCCTGGCCTTTTGGACGGTTCATCCCGGGGCACTGATGCAGAAAGCTCTTGGCCCTAGGCTGATGGACACTGGTCCGTCTAGCCAAGGGCATCACGGAACAGTCCGGCCCTTGCTGCCCTCGTACCTGGCTTCCAGGCCTTCCTCCTTATCCTCAAGTGCTTCTGATAGGCCCTGCTTGGATGCTGTGGCTCTGGGCCGGAAGCAGGCAGAGCTAGAAGACACCCTTCCTGCCTCCGCTCTGCCTTACTGCGTGTTATTCAAAAATGAGCTAGGCCTGCTCGTCATATGGCTAAAAGTACAGTTTGGAGAGTGGTTATTCCAGAGCATCGCAAGAAGGTTTTGTTTTTCTTCCAAAAACACTTTTGGGATATTCTTCTAGATGCTTTTAGTTGACAAGCACCTTGAATTGTTTCCAGAAAATGTGTCAGCGTCAATGCGTTGTGGGATTGTTGTAGAAAAGGAAATACTTTTTTTAGACAATGAGCAATTCAAATGTGGAATTCTTTGCCAGAGAGGGTCGTGACGGCCACAGGCATAGACAACTTTACAGATGCATGGAGGAGAGGTCTGTCAGTGGCTGCTGGTGACTAAAGGGAACCTCCGTGTTCAGAGGCAGTAAACCTCGGAATCCCAGAGCCAGGAGGCAACATCAGGGGAAGACCTCGGCCTCTGTCCTTGCCTGTTTGGTCCTCCAGGGCAGTTGGTTGACTGCTGTGTGAGGCAGGATGGTGGACTAGATGGATCATGGGTCTGACCCAGCAGGGGGATTCTTATGTTAATTAACTCATTCACCCACAACCAGCCCGCAGGGCAGCTGCACCAGATGCCAGTTGAAAGTGTCAAGTGCAGCCCACATAGAGCGCATTACAGTTGTCTGGTCCAGAAGTTACCAAAGTCTGAACCGGTGAGGCCAGATGAGCAGATGCCAGAAGGTGAGAGGGCTTTTGATCCAGAGGTGATAGAAGGCGCCCTGGCATCCTTTCTGCAAGGAAGTTGTTGGCAGCGCATGCCAGGTCCCGGAAAAGGCCTTGGCGTGGATAGTGGGAGAAAGAGTCCTCCCATTCCGCCAATCGAACCGGCTTTGGCGAGTGGGAGCTTTCAGCCCGGCCTTCTGCTGACCGCTCTCTTGGTTGGCCCTGCAGCTGGAGGACCACATCATGCGTCTCCGGGAGGAGCTGGACCGTGAGCGGGAGGAGCGCAACTACTTCCAGCTGGAGCGGGACAAGATCCACACCTTCTGGGAGATCACTCGGCGGCAGCTCGATGAGAAGAAGGCGGAGCTGCGCAACAAGGACCGGGAGATGGAGGAGGCCGAGGAGCGGCACCAAGTGGAGATCAAGGCAAGATGCTGGGTGGCGGCGGGTGGGCTCTCTCTGGCTGCGCTCTGAGGAGGGCACCTGTCCATCCCGCTGTAGACAGCCGGCTGTTCCTCTTCCCTCAGGTTTACAAGCAGAAAGTGAAGCATCTGCTGTACGAGCACCAGAACAACCTCACGGAGCTGAAGGCAGAGGGCACCGTGGCCATGAAGCTGGCCCAGAAGGACCACCGTTCCCAGGAGATGGACATGCGCAAGGACATGCGCACCCTGAAGGTGGAGCTGAAGGAGCAGGAGCTGGCCAACGAGATGGTGCTCAAGAACCTGCGGCTGGTATGTCTCTGGCGAGGCGGGCGCTCCTGCTGCTACTCTGGGCCTGGGCCAGCTGCCGTGGGCGGCATCCGGAGCCACAGCTCTGTACGGGGAGCAGGCCAGCCTGGCTTCTGTTTGGGAGGACAGCCCAGTGCATTGATAGAGACCTGCTGCTGATGGGCCTCTTCTCCCTGGCAGAAACAACAAGAGGATATGACGGCTCTCCGCTCTGACTTTGAGAGACAAGTGAAAGGTCAGTTCTGGGGTTTGCCGTCCCTGTTCAGTGAGGTGCTCTGAGGGCCCAGTAGCTTAGCCCCTCTCCCCCATTTTTGGAAAGTGTGGGTGTTTATAGTGAGTGTCCCTGTAACCGTGTCTGTCCAATACAGAGGTCTGTCTGTCTGTCTGTGGCTGCTGTGGTTTGATAGGTAGCTTGGCTCTTCTGGTTTGCCGTAGATTATTTGCCTGGCTAGGGCCCTTTTTCAGTGGCAGTCTGTGTCCTGTGTGCCTTGTGGTCTTTCAAAAGAACGGACGAGGCATTACTCTTAAATGCCAAAGATGAATTTGAAGAGTCTTCCAAGATAACTTGGCAAATTTAAAGGATAGTGGTAAATGCAGTAGGCACGAAAGCACCCATTGCTGTTGCTTCTCCAAATGCGGCTGGGTGCTCGTGGATGCCCAGTTCCGCCGGCTCTTCTTCCTTCCCCCTGACAGCTGTTTGCCTGTGCCATAAATGTCTTTGCGTGTGCCTGAGGCTTTCCTGTCGGCCCACTCCTTTCCGTGGGGCCAGGAGGCGCCCTGCCCCACCTCCTCTCCCCCACAGCGTAGAGCAGCAGCCCTCCGGTGTAGAGCCAGGCGTAGAGCAGCAGCCCTCCGGTGTAGAGCCAGGCGTAGCCTTGGCAGCCGTTTTGCTGGCCGAGCCCTCAGTCAGGCCGGCCTGGCGCTGCTCCCCCAGAGATCGAGGCCAAGTACGAGAAGAAGATGCGAGTGCTGCGCGACGAGCTGGACCTGCGCAGGAAGACGGAGATCCACGAGATCGAGGAGAGGAAGAACGGGCAGATCAACACCCTGATGAAGAACCACGAGAAGGCCTTCAGCGACATCAAGAACTACTACAACGATGTCACGCTCAACAACCTGGCGCTCATCAACACCCTCAAGGTAAGGCATGCCCTGCCCCCCCACACACACCCCTTTGCGTGCACGCACACAGTTCGAGGGGAGGCTGCCGCTATGGGCACGTCTCTGGGGTGGAGGGCGGGCCCTTGGGACAGTCCTTCCCCTTGCCTCCCAAGCTGGCCCGTAGCTAACACGGGGCCCACGGGGCCCAGCCTCCTAGTGTTTCTTCTGGGTCCCCTCCCTCCTGGGCTGCCCCCAAACTTACCACCTGCACTGTACTTTCATTTAATTAGCTGGCGGGCCCCCCTGAGGCCCTCTCCCAAAGAATTCCCTAGCTATGGGGCTGCTCCCAGGTAGGGTTACCAAGTACCTACCTTCGAATCGGCGGGGGGCACATGGTTCCTGGCTGGAACATCCCTTGGTGGAACACATCCCTGCTGCACCATGCCGTCGCCCAGACGTGACGCCTGCACGCTGGGCACGTAGCTGGGCGATGCTCTGGCAATGGAGCTGGAAACGCCATGGTACCATCGAGTTTCCAGCTCCATTGCCAGAGCGTCGCCCAGCTATGTGCCCAGTGTGCTGGCGTCACGTCTGGGCGATGGCATGGTGCAGCGGGGATGTGTTCCACGCGGGAATGTTCCTGACAGGACGTATGTGTCCCCCGCCGATTCAAGGTAAGTACTTGGTAAGCCTACTCCCAAGAGAAGGCTGTGTGCCCTTTCCCCTGTACCCAGACTGGGTGGGCCAAGGTGCTTTGCGATGCTGTCTGTGTGTGTGTCTGTCTGTCCCCGAGACTGGTGAGTTCCGTTGGGCTTTAGGGGTGTGGTCTTGGTGACCCCTTGTTGGGGGTGGGGAGCAGACCACAGAGGGAGTCCCGGCCCAGGGCTGAAGGAACTCGTCCTGCTGCATAGCCAGAGAGATGGGGTGGGCGTGAGGGGCCGGCCCCCGGGAGCAGGGACACTCCCTCCGTGTGTCTTCCCTGGAGTACAGGAGCAGATGGAGGAGATGAAGAAGAAGGAGGACCACCTGGAGAAGGAGATGGCCGAGGTGCTGCTGCAGAACAAACGGCTGACGGAGCCGCTGCAGCGGGCCCGAGAAGAGGTGGCCGAGCTGCAGAAGAAGCTGGCCCACTACGAGAAGGACAAGATCTCTCTGGTGGTGAGTCCCGGGGCTGTGCGCTGCTGAGGGCCCCCTCTGTGTTGGTGAGGTGGGGAAAGCACGGGGCTGGCATGTACCAGGCTTTGCCTGAGCCGGATGTCATGACATGTAACTACTGGCTGCTTGCGTTAAAACATCCCTGTTCTGATGTGCATTTAATTTTTGGACAGACACGTTTGCACTGTGCGAAATCTCTGCTGTTGTCTACTGTGTCTCCTTTTATTTGGCTTTGTCTTATACACTTCATTTGTACCACACTTTTTGTCAAGATGGAGACCCAAACTGGTTTAAACCATTCTCCTCTCTTCCATTTTATTCTCACGGCAATGCTTGACAAGGTCTTAGCCTCTGTTACCTGTTCGTTGGGCCTCCAGTGCAACTGGCCGGCCACTCTGTGAAACAGAATATTGGACAGGAGGGACTGCAGCTGTTCCTGTGTCATGTCATTCTACTGAAATATGTGCCACAGTATTTGTCATGATTGGAAAACCCCCAACGAAGTCCACCACAGAACTTCATTAGCTCTGGTCTTTGCAGCTCATGGTACTTGAGCAACACCTGTGGGACGAGTGGAGCGGCACTGTCCTCCGGACACCCCCCCCCCCCCCCGGTGGTCCTCCTCCTCCTCCTTTTTCTGCCTGGTTTAGAGTAGAACAGACACGAGTCCCGACTTCTGTGTTAACCTATTTCCTTCCTCCTCCTCCAGAGCACGCAGGCCCGCCTGAAAGTCGCCCAAAAGGAACTGAAGGATCTCCAGTGGGAACACGAAGTGCTGGAGCAAAGATTCAGCACGGTGAGGCCCGTTGGTGACTCCTGCTGTGTGTCTGATTTCTTTCTTGCTGGAGGGGGTGGGACAGAAGCGGTGGGCGTGGTGGGCTGCCAGAGCCGGCTCACCCGCTAGGCGAACTAGGCATTCGCCTAGAGCACGGGCCAGCCCTAGGGGCGCCAAACAGGACCCCGCCCCCTCCTCAGGGCTGAAAGAGGCACCCAAGTGGGGCTGCTGGGAGGGAGGGAGGGAGAGGTGGAGATTGACTGGAACCCGGAAGCCGCTGCAGTCGCTGGTGAGGCTAGCTTGTGGCGCCCGGCACATACACCCGTGGCATGTTTTTGGGAAGTCTCCAGGCCCCACCAGGAGATTGGCATTGCCTGAGGGGGCGCAGGCACCACAATCTGGCCTCGCCTAGGGTGCAGAAACACCTCGGGCCTGCCCTGTGGGCTGCTGTGCCAAGACCTGTTTCCTGGGGACTGTTGGTGGAGCCCTCTGCCGCCCGCCCACCCCCAGCAGTGCTGGACCCCCAGCCGTTTTGTGGGTGGCATTTCCCTCCCTCTCCTGCTTTTGCTCTCTGCATCCCTGGCTTTCTGCAAGAAGGATCCAGAGTCAGGGTAGCACCGAGCCTCTGGGCAGGTGACTCCCGGGGGGTGGGATGCTGTCTTCTTGGATTCCGGGGGAAGCTTGGCTGGGTAACGGCACGTCTTCCTCTGTCCGGTCTCTAGCGGAAGTTGCCCAAAGGGAGCAAGGGACTCTCAGAGGGAGAGGGCGGGGCTCCCCTGTTCTCCACCCTGCAGCCACGCCTCCCGTGCTGTACGAGGAGGGCGCTCATCAGATCCTAGCAGGCCGGGGGACTTTCTCCCCGGCACGACTCATTAGGGACCGCATGAGGCTCATCTGCGGTTGCACAGTGGACAGAGACCTCATTAGCAACTTGCCATTAAGGTAACTAGCCGGTTGTAACGAGGGTGCCCTCATGAGAACTGGGTCAGGTTGGCCTCCCCCCGTGCCGCTTCATCCCTGAATGCTGTTCTCTTGCAGGGCGCCAGTTGCCCCCTCCATTGTCTGTCTGTTAAATGTTTTTTCAGGCAGCTTTTCTCCCACTCTGTGGATTCAAAAAGTAGCTCTCAAATTGAAATAGGAGACAGTAACAAAACCCGATAAGCCAACTGGGTAGAGCAGGGTTGTCAAACATGCGGCCGGGGGCTGGATCAGGCCCCCGGAGGGCTTCTATCAGGCCTGCAGTGGAACTGGCTGTCTTCTGCTTCTTCTTCCTGTTCTGCTGCTGCTGCGCCATCGTAGGTTTGCAGGTTACAGATACACACCTGAACAGCATACTCAGGATTGCAACAGCACAGACATTTTGATGCAATAATTCAGAGAAAGAGGTGTCAGTTATCAGACACTGTTAAATAAGCAAAATATTGCAAGAGTGCTAATGTTTTAAGCATGTTTTTATTTTAAAAAAAACCTTTGTGTTTGGGTCCTTTATAAAGTTTATGTCTCGGCTACCTGGCATCACATTTTATGACACGCATTGCCCGGCCCAACAAGGTCTCATTTATGTCAGATCCAGCCCTCATAACAAATGAGTTCGACACCCCTGGGCAAGAGGGCAAAAGTCCAGCGCCCTTTGGTGCGTGCCTCTGGCTTCCAGTGACGTAAGCGTTCCGGTCTTACCCCGCTGGCTTCGGCGTCCCCCAGTTTCCTCCTTACTGGGCTTCGGCTGAGGACAAGGAGTTGCTGTGGATCGCCCTGGCTCCAGAGGAAGGAAGGAAGGAAGGAAGGAGCCCAGTCAAACTGGGGTGTGTGTGTGTTTTGCTGCGGAGCTGCCCTCCTGGCCCCCACTGTGGGGACATCCAGCAGGCAGGGGGCCTCTCTGCCAGTGGAGCCAGGAGCGTGAGGCCTGTGTTGCCTCTGTCCCTTTGCCATGCTCTGTTGGTTGGAGAAGCTGCTCAGGAGAGGCAGAGGCCAGAAGCATGCTGGGGGGCCTCGCTCCCGCCGTCACCATGAAAGAGGCCCTCTGGCAGGAAAGGCTTTAACCTGTTCTGTCACTTTTTAATATTGGCTCTCATGGGTTTTGTCACCTGCCCAAAGTATTGGATGTGCGCACGGCGCAAAAGTGTATCGGCCATTGATGGGATCGCCGTTGGGGCTCGGGGGCAGGGTCCACCGTGGCGCCCTCCTGACCCGCGTGGCCGTTTGGGTGTCTCCCCACCACAGGTGCAGGCAGAGCGGGACGAGCTCTACCGGAAGTTCACCAAAGCCATTAACGAGGTGCAGCAGAAGACGGGCTTCAAGAACCTGCTGCTGGAGCGGAAGCTGCAGGGCCTCTCCAGCATGCTGGAGAAGAAGGAGGTGCAGCTGAACGAGGTGCTGGCGGCCTCCAACCTGGACCCCAGCGCCCTGGCGGTGGTCACCCGCAAGCTGGAGGTACGGCCCCCACCCCCTTGGGAACCGGTGGGGAGTGGAGGGGCTGCTGCTTTGGGCGGGGAGTCCCTTCCGAAAAACTGTGGGCAGCCTGACAGGTGTGGCTGGAGCGTGATCTCCTGGCAGAGGAAGAGGGGAAGGTCGACCTTCCATGGTGTTTGGGGGGAGCTGTGGACACAAGTCCCTTGGGGAGGGGGAGAGCAGGAAAGGGCTCCCACACCAGTCACCAGGGAGCAGTCCAGGCCGGCACCAGCCTCTGCAGTCTCGGGGCAGGCCACGTAGGACCTCCCACACTTCAGGCTCCAGCCGGTGGGTGGTGGTCGTCCAGAGGCAGGGGACCGCTTTCAGTGTCCCACTGGAGAGAGGTGCTGGGGGAGAACAGGGGTGGCTACCGTGGCTGGAGAGGACGGCTGGAGCAGCCAGCGGCTGAGCTTCCCAAAGGGAGGCCCTTTTCCTCCTGACCAAACCGAGTGAGCTCCGGGAGAGGATTCCCACGGCAAATAGCAGCCCCAGTGCTGCAATATCGGGTGAGGGAGGAGTTGACCCCTCTCCCCCTTTCAGATTCCTCCCTGGAGCAGTGGTTGGCTTGTGGGGGGGGGGGGCTGCGGCTGGGAATACTGCCGAACAGCCTGTCTCCCTCTGTGAGCTAAATAGCTGCTTTGGGTTGGGGAGATGACAAGAGGGAGAAAAGGTTAAGTCCCGTCCCCCACATTTTGCCCACCCGCCTCGTACTCCTCTCTGTCATTGAAAACCATGCAGAAGGTCCAGCAGCTCTTTGCATTTTTGTGTGGTGTTAATGCTCATTTTGGGATCTGGAGCGTGCCACATTTTGTGTTGGTTAGCTTTTTCGAAGCAAGCCTCTTGGCCTTCTGGCTAGGCCCGGGGCTGGGCTGGGGAGCGACTTCAGCCCCCATCTTGAGTGCCTTTCCCTTCCCGCTGATTTGTGGGGTCTGCAGAGAGGATGTGTGTCAACATGATGGACTGGTGGGATGCATGCAGGGCCTTTCCGCAGGAATCCCGCATGACCTTTCCCCACGTGAGGCACACGTCAGCCAAGTGCCCTCCTTGCAGTGTGCCAGGGCGGGGCTGCCCAGCCTCCGGTCAGGGAGGAAGGGGGGGGGATCCTCTCATGGTCCTTATCAGGCTGAGACCTTCTGGGACTCCCCATCTTGGAGCTGGACTCGGGACTCGAGAGGGCCCTGTCAGCCCAGCTTCACCTCCCACTTTCCCGCCTCACTGGGATCCCAGAGCTGCCAGGTTTTCCTGCTCTCTCTCCCTTTGCCCAGTCAGCCTCTCAGGACGTCCCAGGTGCAGAAGGGCTACTGACACATTCAAAAGGCTCCTCCTGCCGCCCTGCCAGAGAGAGGGCAGAGGCTGAACGGAGTATTCTCCCCCCCACACGCACACACACGTTGTGCTGCCAGCCCTCCTGAGGCCTCCTTTCCAGGCAGAAGACATGCCTGGAAGGACTTGGCCTGCCTGGGAAAGGAAGGGGCTTAGAAGCTTCCACATTCCAGGCACTGCCCGGCGCCAGTAACTGGAGACGCATCACAACAGGTTCCTTTCCCCATGGCCCGTGGTACCTCCTTGCACCAGCTGCTCTTCACCCCCTCCCCCACCCCCAATTCCTGCGTTCAGATGCTACTTGTACAGCAGGCGTATCCGGAGGCACTTTCCCGCACGGTACTCCATCCAAGTATTGGATCCTGCACCAAGATATTGCAATACTGGCAGCTCTGGGCTGCAGATTTTAGCTCCCACTGTCTGTCTGGCAGGGCAGAGGGGGGCAGATGAGCCCGGGGGGGGGATGCTGCTGGGAAAGGGGGGGAGGCCTGGTCTTCACGGGAGGCAGCCCGCAAAATCCGCTCTGGGTGCATTTTGTTCCTCTGTGATCAGGCTGTGTGAGTTGGGAATTTGGCCGCTTGCACACAAATTGGGATCCTGACGCACCTCCGCTGTCCGGTAAGGACAAAACGCATGTCCAGCCCTGAGCGCTGCAGAGGGGGCCGTGAGTGGGGGGTGCTGCTGGGTACCATCTCAGAGGTCTGAGGGAGACTGGTCAGGAACTGCAGTCTCTCTGGAGGTGGGCCATACTGAGGGTGCAGAGTTCACAGAGGGGAAAGAGGGGCACTGTAGGGCTGTGCTGGGGAAGGCCTGGGCCTCGCGGGCCAGTTCCCTCGTGCAGCGTACTAACGGCCCTCCGCGGGTCTTCCTTCCTTCGCAGGACGTCCTGGATTCTAAAAACAGTGCCATCAAGGACCTGCAGTACGAGCTGGCCAGAGTGTGCAAGGTGAGAGAGGGGCTCGGGGAGAAAGCTGCATTGGGGTCTTGGGGGGGGGCAGGGAACGGGACCCTTCAGCTCTAGGCACCGGGAGAAGCGGTGGGGACACTGGGCAATGGGTCCTTGGCTGGAGAGCCTTTCCTTTTGATTTTGCTAAGAATTTGAGTCAGCCGATCCTGGGGGCTCGCCAAAATGGGATTCCTCTTTGTGACATTTGTCACTTTCCCTCACTGTGCCGCTTAGAAACTCACCTCCCTGAATCCCCCCCCCCCCGCGCTTTTTTCCCCCAAACACGGGAACATTTGGGGAATGGGAGGCCATGACACAGGCGAGCGGGGAGAGCATCGTGAACGTACACCCATGCCAGAGGGAGGCCCGTGAAACCTTGTGGGTGTGAGAGTGGAAGTCCCATTTCTCCCTCTCCCCCCGCTGGCCCCATTTCCTCCCCTCGTGTTCTACCTGGAGCCGATGGTTGGGGGGGGCATTGCCGTTGAAAGCCTGGAGGGCTTGTAGACCCCACTTTCAGTGCCAAGCCACCCACCCCTGGCGGCCAGACCACCCTCTGCCTTTGCAGCTCTGAGCCCCCGCGGGCCCCATTTCCTCCCCTCGTGTGCTACCTGGAGCCGATGGTTGGGGGGGGCATTGCCGTTGAAAGCCTGGAGGGCTTGTAGACCCCACTTTCAGTGCCAAGCCACCCACCCCTGGCGGCCAGACCACCCTCTGCCTTTGCAGCTCTGAGCCCCTCCCATGGGTCCCTGCTTCATCTTACTGCCCCCTTGTCATATGCCTCCGCCCCCACCACGGAGTGGTGGTTGAGTGCACGGACTCTGATCTGGGAGAACCGGGTTTGATGCCCCACTCCTCCACTTGCACCTGGCTGGATGACCTTGGGCAAGCCATAGTTCTGATAAGACCTGTTCTTGAAAAAGAGCCGTTTCTGTCAGAGCTCTCTCAGCCCCACTGACTGTGGGCAGGGGAAGGAGTTTGTAAACCGCTCTGAGACTCCTTTGGGTAGTGAAGGGCGGGGTATAAATCCAATCTCTTCCTCTTCTTCTTCAGTGCGCGGACTCTAATCTGGGAGAACCGGGTTTGATCCCCCGCTCCTCCTCCACTTGCAGCTGCTGGGTGACCTTGGACAAGCTGTAGTTCTGACAAGAGCTGTCCTTGAAAAAGAGCAGTTTCTGTCAGAGCTCTCTCAGCCCCACCCACCTCACAGGGTGTCTGTTGTGGGGAGGGGAAGGGGAAGGAGCTTGTAAGCCGCTCTGAGACTCCCTTGGGTAGTGGAGGGCCATGGGGTATAAATCCACTCTCTTCTCTTCTCCTTCTCCCCATCCTGCCACATGTAATACTGATTGTGGTCTCAGTCAATATTTTCTTTAGCTGCAAGGGGGCTTCTCCAGTTTGGCAACTTGTTGGGTTTGTCTGCAAACCTGTGAAACCTGTGGGTTCTCCCAGGTTTGTGAAAGGGGGGTCTGTGTGTAGTCCCGTTGTGTGGGGTTCTTTGACCTGCATTCCGGGGCCACCCTGAGCAGCTTTAGATAAAAATAAATCTACAGACAGCAAACGATGGCCTCTGGCGGTGTCTGTCTGCGTGCCTCCCTCCGCTGCAGCCTCCCCCTCACGTTCTCTCCCCCCACCCTTGCAGGCGCACAACGACCTCCTGCGGACGTACGAGGCCAAGCTGACGGCTTTCGGGATCCCCTTGGACAATCTGGGCTTCAAGCCCCTGGAGACCTCGGTGGTCGGCCACATCCTGGGGCAAGGCCCCGCCGGACTCGTCTCGACCCCCACCTAGCGGACCCGGGTGCTTTCCTCTGGCCCAGGGAGCACCGCGTCTCCTCCTTCCCGGGGCTGCTTCGCCCCCTCCGGCGGCTGCGGGTGGCAGGCAGCAGGGACTGGGCTGGCCCGGCCGGCTCCCCTTTGCAATGCATTAAAGAGGCCCTGCAAGGGTGTTTCGCACGCTGGCTCCGCAGAGGCACCCTTTTTCATCCTCCCCCCCCCCAAGGTCCCCATTTCGGGGGCCACACCCCCCCCCCCCCCCCGAGCAGCAGCACCTCAGCAAAGAGCACGTGATCCGCCACCCAACTAATCCAGGAGGCTTGACGTTTGCTCTCGCAGCCACTCTTTGAGGGGGAAGCCTTTTATTATCCTTGTGCCTGCCTCTCCCCCGGCCTCCCTTCGGCTAGTTCCCCCGGTAAGTGGTGTAGGAGTAGGGGCTGAGCAGCAGAGGGATGTGGACCTTCTGTTCCGCTTCGGTGACGGTGAAGACGATCTGAAACAGACAAGGGGGGGTGGGGGATCCTGAGCTCCTGGAGCGGAGCAGTGCCCTGGGCTGCCGGCTCCCCTCGGCCGGGGTTCTGCCTCCTCTTCCGCTGCCGGCACGAGAGACGTGGCCGTGGGCCCTGCCGTCTCCAGACCCGATGGCGGGCTAACTGCCCTCCTAGCCACCCTTCCGAGTACCCAGGGCCCTCCTCTGGTTCTTTTGCACACTAGGCAAGGTTACCTTGTGGCGCCCCCGTGCCGGCCCTGTGTGCAATGCTGCAAAAGAAATCCCTGCGGCTGCAGTCCTGTGCACAGCATAGAACTTAATTCTGAATACACCTGCATAGGATTGAGGCAGCAGCCAGGCAGCCTGGCATTGGCTCCGAGTGGGCCAGGGGAAGGGGTGCACTCCACCGACAGCTCTGGCGCCGTTTCTGTGTCCCCACCACCGCTGCTGGTATGCAGGGAAGGAGGGAAAGGAGCCCTTTGGCGGTGTGCTGGGGGTGCCCCATCCCACAGCACTGGCTGGGCTGGGCAGCGAAGGTGGCCACTCTCTGCTGAGATCTGCCGCCACTGCCTAATGACAGAGCGGGCAGCTCCCACTCCCCGGCGCCCCTGCTCTCCCTCCCTGCAAACCGATGGGGCTCCCAGGACCCTGCGGCCACCAGGACGCGTCTCCTGGTGGTGAGTTGAGCAGGGCTTTTGGCAAGGGAGGGGCGGGGGGGCAGTGTGGCAGGCCAGTGCAGTGCCCCCTTTCAGGGGGGCTGCTCTAGGCTACTGCCTAAAATCTGTCAATGATGGGCCAGCCCTAATAGTACCCCTCCTAGCCTCTTTCTCCTTCCTTTGTCTCCCTCCGCTTTATGATGAGACTTCCCTGTCTGCACACGTGCCCCCTGCAAAGGGAAACGGGGCCTCTGCCACTGATGTGGGGGCAGCTACTCTCAGCAGGAGGAGCGCAGGAGGAGGTGGCCGCCTCCAGGCGGGGGCTGGGCCTGTGCACATTCCAGCCATTCTCCAGAGATGCTGCCCGCAGTGCAAGGTGCTGACCCAGTGGCCGGCGGCCCTCCCTCTGCGCCAGCGGCCCTGCTTGCCTGACGCGGCCCCCGGGGTAGGAGACTTACTTCCACATAGGGGTAGAAGCTGCGGTGGCCCTGCTCCCGCCAGTAAGCCCCGGTTTCAAAGCGCAGCTTGTAGGTGCCCGGCTCCAACCTCCTGGGCATCGCGGCAGTCTGGCCCCAGCGCCCGCTGCGGTCCGTAGTGCTGGAATGGAAACAGGCGTTGGTGGCACCCGCAAGCGTCTCGCCCCCACTTGGAGAGGGGCTCCTGCTGCCTACCTCTGAGTGATGGGGGTCCACGGCTGGTGAGGATCCTGGCGCTGGAAGAAGCAGCGCATGGCCAGGCCGCTCGCGGGGAGGCCGGTGAGGACGTTCAGCGCGTGGACCGTCAGCGCAGGGTGGGGAGTCCCATCTTGGCCGGGAGTCTGGGAATCAGAGCGGAGAGCTAGGCAGACGGGGGGCCCCCAGCAGGTGGGGGGGGCAGTGCAGGAAGCCGTGGGCCTGCCGGGCTAGGAAACCACCCCGGTGGAGCTTTATTTCCCCGCGGCTGACCCTGGTCTGTTTTGTTGCTCAGGTTTTTGTGTTTTTTTTGGGGGGGAGGCAGAGGCAGTTCCTTCTCGCCCCGGCAGAGTGAGTTGCCATCCTGTACACGTGTCAGTCTGCCTGATACTCAAGATGGGTGGCCATGGTTGCTCTGTCTGTCGCACTAGGAAAGAGCTGGAGTCCAGGCCAACAACCTCAAAGGCTAACCACATTTGTGGCAGGGCGGGAGGTCTCGTGAGTCACGGCTCACTTCTTCAGATCCCTGAAGATGTCTGAAGAAGTGAGCCGTGACTCACAAAACCTCCTGCCCTGCCACAACGGTTGTTGGTCTTTAGGGTGCTGCTGGGCTCTTGCTCCTTTCTGTTGCCTTCTACTGAATCAGACCTGACACACACACACACCCCTTGGTCCATCACGGTCCAGACTGTCTTCTCAGACTGGCAGCCGCTCTGCAGGCTCTCCGGCAGAGAAAGGTCTTCCCCATCACCTGCTGCCAGACCGTTAACTGGAGATGCCGGGGATTGAACCTGGGACCTTCTGCATGCCGAGCAGAGACTCTGCCACTGAGCCGCCACCGCTCCCCATCCTGGCTCTAGTCCAGTACTTTGGAGAGGCAAGCCAGCACCCGTGGCTTAGGGGAGGGGATTGGCAGTGGGGGCCAGCCAGCCAGCCCAGGCAGGGCTTTTGCTCCATGCTGGAAGAAAGGGCGGAGGCCCGTGAGCAGCCTGCCATTAGTTCTTCCCCGGCGGAGCTCTCTGCCCGGCCCAGGCCTGGCACACGGAGGGAGGGGCTGGCCCTGCTGCTGGCTTCCGTCCCGCCCACCTGCCTCAGCCTCACATTGTCCAGGGGTGGCGTCCCGTCCCGTTGCTGTGGCTGGTCTCTCTGCTCCATTCCTCGTAAGGCAGATCCTCGAGTGACGGATCCGCCCCCCTTGGCATCATTTCCTGACAGTGCCCTGGCAGCACTGACTCAGCACGGAGCGTTAACCCTGTGGGTGCTGCAGGGGTGTCTACCTGCTGGAAGCGGGGTGGGGATGGGGGAGCTCACTCTCTGCTGGGCAAGGGGGGGCCGTCCAGCTCCTCTGAGCCTCGCTGTGACATGCTGCCCGACATCTCCGGGTGGGCCAGCCACTTCCCCCCTGAAAGAAAGGCAGCATGCTTCCCTGCCCCCTCAGCCCCCAGCCCTGGAGGAGGCTGGTAATATTCTGGGGGTGGGCAGGTGGGTGGAGAGTGTCAGTGGGGAACCGGTGCAGGATCATAAAAGGGGTTGGGGGGAGAAGGAGGAGGCCCATTACCGTGGCTGGGTGGGGAATCGGAGGGTTGTCATTCACATTGATGAGGTACAAAAACAAGGTTCCTGTGCCAGTGGCCGCTGGTGCCCCTGAACAGAAAGGGCAAGGCAGTTTAGCAGAACAAGCACGTACCACATTTTGATCCAACAGGTTCCCCCCCACTCACAAACATACAAGCTGCCCCCCCCCAGTAAAATCTGTTGGAGGGGCTCAGTTGTCTTGGTGCAGTGTGGGCAGTGCCCAGTAATTCATCCCCCTGCCCCAGCCCTGATGCGTTCGGACCCCAGCTCAGTCCAGCAGAGTCCTCGGCCCCAGGAGCCACCCAAGTGCCCCCTAGTCCCCTCCTCCTCTTCCTGGACAGGGGCAGAGGCCAAGGGGAAAGCCAGCCCGGCCCACTCACCGCTGTCAGTTGCGTAGATGAGGGCCTCATACGTGTCGTTCTTCACATACGGCGACTCCCTGTCCAGAGCAGCTTGTGTCCGTATGACGCCAGTGTCCTGGTTAATGGTCAGCCACTTGGCCACGTCTTTCCCAATGGAGTACCTGGAGGAGAAATGTGGACCACTGTCAGAGGTCTCCCAGCTCTCCCCGTCCAGCCAGCAGGGGCATCAACCCCCCGTTCTTTGCCAATCGGGCACGGAGCTCCTGAGTGGGGCTGATTCAGCAGAAGAGCTCTGGGGCTCCGTGGGGCGGTGGGGGTGGAGGGGAAGGGAGATGGGTCAGCACCAGCTTTCCCCACTTGGCGAGTGCACCAGAGGGGAGCCAGCGGCCACTTCACTCACAGCTCCCCCTCCTGAGGGGTTTCAGCCTCGGCTTCTCCACACTGCGCAACCCCAGGGTGGCTTGGCCCGGCACCGGTGAGCAGCACAGGCCACGCGTACGCTCCATCGTTCCCGGGGCACCCAGAGAGAGGGTTCCAGGGCCAGGGCCCTTCAGCGGCCTTTCGGAGCAGCAGCGACTGGCCTTGTCCATATGATAAGGCATCCTGAAGTGTAGTGGGTTAGACGCATTAAGTAAGCAAGGAGACTGATGCAGTGATCAGCATAGCTTTACTGGTACACAACAAAGACAACCCCAACAGCCGGCAGGCCAACTATATACACATCCAGGGGCACACCCCTGGGTCCCATTGGTGGGTTTGAATCTCCCGCCAAGGTCCCATTGGTTCCCCCTGTGGAGGGACTAGAATCCTAGTCCCCATTGTTGTACCGGACTGAAGCTCAGGAGTGTGCACTGACCTCCGGGGCGGTCAATGGACACAACACATCCCCAACGTCCCCACCACGCCCAGGCCGCTTCCCGGCCAGCTCTCCTGCAGAGTCGGGAGCGCACCCTCCTTGGGCTGGAAGCCGCAGCCTGCTGGGGCTGTGATGGCGGAAGGGACCATGCTCTGCCTTCACTGCCTCCCCGCCGTCTCTCCTTGCAAAGCCTTGACCCAGGCCGGCTGCCCCTCCCTGCCCTGTACCGGAGAGTCTGCTTCATCTCCTTATCTGGATCCCGAGCCGTGTAGGTGGTCACCACCTCCCCCACGGGGAGATCTTCAGAGTGCGTCACACGCATTACAGGGGGCACAAAGACGGGGGCCTCGTTCACATCTTTCACACGGACAGTCACGGTGGCTGTGGACGTCGGCAGGATCATTGAGAAGTCGGCGACATTCGTCACAGAGACTCTGAGGACAAACTGCTTTGTGTGCTCGTAGTCCAGGCCCTGGAAAGGATGCAAGGCGGGGGTGGGGGAGAGCACTTAGGGGGTGCCAAGCAGCAACCGGGCAAGTGCTGACCAGAAAGCGAAGTGGCCAAGGAGACCAGGGACCAGCAAGCCTCCTGCCCAAGGCAGAAGGGTGCTTCTTGGTGAAGAAGCAGAAGCGACTGGATTTTTACCCCACCCTTCTCTTGGAGTCTCAGAGCAGCTTACAAACTCCTTTCCCGTCCCCTCCCCCGTGAGGTGGGTGGGGCTGAGAGAACTCTTTCAAGAACTGCTCTTTCAAGGACAGCTCTTGTCAGAACTATGGCTTGCCCAAGGTCATCCAGCAGCTGCAAGAGGAGGGAGTGAGGAATCAAACCCGGTTCTCCGCGCACTTAACCACTACACCAAACTTGCTTGGGGGGGGGGCACAGTGGGAGGGCTTGATAACACCCAGGTTTTGCCCACGGTGTGACACAGAGCGTTGTTCTGGATGGGCCACTGGCCTGATCCAGCATGACTTCTCTTATGACCCTGTGTTCACCTGAGCTGTTCTCAAGAGGCCCTCGTTGGTTTGAGGGTCGGTAGTGATATCGAAATCCCCTCCCTCGTTCCCTGAGATGATCTGGTATCTTGCTTTCCAGGCATCAGTGTTTTCTTCATCTGCATCTTTCACCTTCAGTTTGGCAACCAGGAACCCTGCCAGATTCTCTGGCACGACTGCATTATACTGGAACACAAAGGGAAAGTGTTAAGTAGCATCCCCTTGACGGGTGGTACAGCCCATAATAATCTCCCCCCTGCTGTCCAACACAGAACCATAGTGTTTGGAGGGGGGCCTAGAGGCCATCTAGTCCCGCCCCCTGCTCAGTGCAGGATCAGCCTAGAGCATCCCTGACAAGAAGGGTTTGTCCAGCTGCTGCTTGAAGACAGCCAGTGGGTGGGGGGGAGCTCACCGCCTCCCAGGGCAGCTGATTCCACTGTGGCACAACTCTTAATGTACAAAAGCTTTCCACCAGCAACAGGTAAGGCTGGTAGTATTCTGGGGGTAAAGAGTGTCAGTTGGGATTTGGCAACATGCCATGCAATTGCAAGGGGGAGAAGGAGGAGGCACGTTACCATGGTTGGGTCAAAAATCGGAGGGTCGTAATTCGAGTCACTGACAATGATCACGGCTGTCGCTGTAGTGGTTAAGCCTTGTCCCTGCATGTCCGCAGCTTGAAGGGTCAGCGTGTACTCAGGGACTTTCTGCAAGCAAAGAACACATGTGGAATGGTGTTGAGTTTATGACCCTCCCCAGGAAAAGAAACCCACACGCCTGTCTTGGTTGATCACAGCCTCCCTTCAGGATTCAAGGGGTACAGAATTGCAGATACCCAGACAGGCTTCATTGCAAACAAGCAAACACCACAGCTAACAACAGAAGACAACGTCGGAATAAAGAAGGAGAAACTTGTGCTATGGCCTTCAGGACAGTAGCCCCCCATCAAGTTGTTAAAAATTGCCGTGAAGTAACATCAGGGGGGAAAAATTAACTTCTTAAGTGTATGAAGTACAGTAAGAGAGCTCAGAATCTCCTATGTGTTTGTCTCAGATTCTTTTCACTCTCACAGCAAATGTTGCCATCTTACGTATTAAAGAAACCCCACACCACCGTGGCCTGCACAGCAAATGCACGTCTGCTCCACGGTGGATGGACCTGCAGCCCCAGCGAGACACTCCTCCGGGGGGCTGATTGCATAGCCAGAGGGCAGGACCCTACGCCCCCTCAGATCCCCACAGATGCCAGGCCTTTGGGGAGCAGGCCTACGAGGGGGTCTCCCTCCGGAAGACTGGCAGAGGCCACAGATCTCCAACGTGGTGCCCGTGGGCATCCTGGTGCCCGCTGATGCCTTTCCTGGCACCTACCAGATGCTTGTAGAGAGCGGTGGGGCTTCGGATTGGCCATTGGAGACTCCACTGACTGAGGAGGTATTTTAAAATGTTACTTTAGCTGCAGCTGCCTCCACTTACAAGGATCTTCACTGTGTGCCTGAAGGTAAGCCATGGCAGCCATTTTGTGGCAGGCTCCACCTCCTGTGGCTGGCTCCTCCATTTTGAGCCTGACCCCAACACAGCAAAGAACACACGTGGAATGGTGTATTCCAAAGGTGCAAAAAGGGTCAAAGACATTGGGCGCCCTTGTAGTGGACCCCCCCCCCCAATTAGCCAAGGAACTTTCTCTTCCCCAACCACATGACAGATCTCAGGTCGCAAGTGTGGGAAAGTCCATCCTCTGCCCAAGAACCCACAGAGTCGCCACCAGTCAGGACGGATCCTCGGTATGACTCAAAGGCAGGATTCACACAGCAGCTGTTTCCAACACAGAAGCCTTCATAGCAGCAGGGGGTGTCCACCAATGCTCCCTCTAAGCTGTGGAGTCTTGTGAGCAAAAATTCTACTCTGTGAGCTACTGGCATTCAAGTTGTGTGAGCGAGCGATGTGGCTCCTGCATCAATTAGTTTGCTCTCTGGAGCCCTCCTTCCTGAGCGGAGACAAAAATGTGTGGTTCACACTAACTCAGCTTAGAGGGAACACTGATCCTGACTGCTATGCTTGGTGTTGCATTCCAGGGCCCCCCTTTCCTCCCCCGAGACTGTGCGGGGGCGAGCGAAGGAGCCAAAGGCAGCCTTAGCTGAGTATGGGACTGCAGCCTCTTCTTGGGGACTGACTTCAGAGGCAGCCGTCCTGTGCCCAGCCGGGCGCTTGGTCCTCAGCCCTTCCCATCAGACTGAGCTACAGCTACTGACGAAGAAGGCTGTGTCTTGCTCAGCACAGTCCTGACCCCCCCCCCCAGCCAGGTGTGCAAACACACACACACAGAGTTGCCCAAACATTCACCTCTCTGTCCAGCCCAGATACAAACACGCTGATCATGCCCGTCTCGCTGCTGATGGTGAACATCTGGGGGTGGGGCTCGGGAGGGGCTTGGCTGAGGATGGAATAGGAGACCACCCTGTTGTAGGTATCCACAGCGTAGTCTGCGTCAGTGGCTGTAACCTGCACCACGGTGGTCCCTGGGGACGTGGAACCAAAGGGTCAAAACTCCGTTTCCGGAGCAGCAGCAGCAGAAAGGCATCTTCAGAAGTGGATCACCCAAGGAAGGATGCAGAAGCGAGTCCGCCTGAGACGGCAGCAGAAGACCCTTCCCCCCTTGGCTGAGTGCAAGCCAGGCAGGATCTGTGCACCGTTCGCATCTCTCTTGTGCTAGGCAGCTGCAGGGACCCAACTCCAGATCCACAGGCCTTGGAAACGCTGCGGTTAGACTACCATGCCATGCTGCACGTCTGGCTAGGAAGCGTCAGCTGGCACCACTTGAATTCCCTGGTCTAGGAAGCCTCCGCTGGCACCACTTGAATTCCCTGCCAGGTCCCCATTCCTTCCCCCCCCCCCTTTTCTCCCTGGGTCCAAGTCCGGAACACCCTCCTGAAGGAGTGCGCCCAAGGCATCGGGTCCTGCCCGCCCTTGTTCCCCCAGGCACCCTGCCTACCTGGCGTGGCTCCTTCTTGCACTGCTCCGTAGAAGACGGGCTGGGTGAACTGGGGCCGGTTGTCATTCTGGTCGCTGACTTTGATGATCACTTCCATGGGGTCCTCTACGGGTTCTCCACTGGCAGACACTGCGTGGGAGAAGAGCTGGGGAGAAAAGCAGGACTGGCGGGGCTCCTTCTTGCACTACTCCGTAGAAGACGGGCTGGGTGAACTGGGGCGGGTTGTCATTCTGGTCGCTCACCCTGATGAACAGTTCCATGGGTTCCTCTACAGGTTCTCCACTGGCAGACACTGCATGGGCAAAGAGCTGGGAAGAAAAGCAGGTGGTGATTGTGACTCTCCAGGAAACTGCCAGATGCCCGTTTGGACCCGAGAAACATTTT